GCTGGAGCGAGGCTTCATCCGGCACGCCGTCAACGCCCGCGGCCACAAACGCTTCTCGACCGAGCGCTACTACGTCGTCGGAGGTGAGCGGACGGCCGGCCGCGCTTCCGCCCGCCGCCGCCCGGGGGCGCCGCTCACGCGAGTCCTCTCCCGCAGACCTCACCGAGATGGCGCCGACGAGCGGTCGCGGAGTCGGCGACGTCTTCCGCCGAGGGTCCTGAACGCGGAGCGCGCGGAGCACGTTTCGGCGCGAGGAATTTCGGCACCGGTCGGAGCTGAAGGTGCGACTGTGTTGCCCGATCAAATCGCATCGATGGAGCAGCAGAAAATGTTGCGACTGGCGCCTGCGCGTTTTTCTCTGCAGGTCACATTGTTTTGTCCACGAATCCCCGCTGTGAATAGAGTCCGTCGAGCCGGAGCGCATTCCGTGTTGTTGTGATGACACCGAACCATTTCGTTGGCTCACTCGAGAGTGGAGTGAGTGAGCTTTTCCTTTGCAGCAAGCGCACGATGGGGACTCTTGGACGCTCATTCACTTCTTGTGCTCGTGTTTGAACTCCTCTCGTCTGTCTCTCAGCCTGTGCGGCGCTGCTTGGTTTCGCTAACAAGAACACGTACATACTGTAAGAGTATCCAGATATCGACAAAGTTCGTATTACTCATCGCAAACAGATGCTTGTGAATATCCGAAAGAGAAATGTGAGCGATAAAACGGTCAGAGAGAAAAAAGGCGTCATTCATCCATGATTAAATTTGTCTCTGAGCAATCTTTTCTACGGCCTGTCTCTTGTTTTGCAAACTTCTTTGTTCAAAGTCCATCCATCCATTTTCCGAAGCGCTTTTATCCGTCCGCATAAGGGTTGCCAGCAGTCTCGGGGCAGTTGGCGGGGGACACCCTGAACCGGTTGCCAGTTGTTGTCTGTCTCACAATTGACATTGTTGCACGGAAGAAACCTCTTACCTTGTATTTCAGAAGAGTTACAGAATTAATTGAGACACAACATTTTAGCGAGTGCTTCGGTAGATATTGCGGTATTTAGGATTGTTTTTTGCCTTGAGGGGGCTTACAGATGGGGGCCAGAATTTGCTGCTTGGCCCCTGATTGTCACTCTTGGACAGGAAAACAGAAATCTGACTCCAGAATAATTGGGCGGTGGAGCATTGGCAAAAGAAGACATCATGTATTGATTCTTTTCCGTTTTCCATCGAAAGCATGATGAAGATGAATTTGGATCGAAACGAGTTGCAATCAAGGCCGGAAGTGATGAGTGCTTTGTTGTGGGGGGTTTTTTTTTGTTTGTCTTTTTATGGGAGGACAAAGTGAACGTTTGTCCTTCCGTGCAACAGGGGGCGCCAGCGGCGCTCTCTGACCGGAAGTGCGTTGAAAGCCGGCCGCCATCGAGAGTGAGAGAGGCGGAGACGACCGCCGTCCGCTCGTCACCGATGGCGCGCAGAGTCCACGCAGCGTAAGGACAAAACAAACAACATTCTCGCCTCTTTCGACTTTTTTTCTCTTGTTTTTCTTTTCCTCGGTCGCTCGTCTTTGTGTTCGTGCGAGCTCGTTCCGCCGTCCGCCGGCCCGCGCGCGCGCCGCGACCGACTGCGGCGACGCTGCGGCGATGGTGACGTCACACGGTCGACGGGCGAGCGAGCGAACGAACTCGTTTGACGAGTTCACCTTGTCGATATCAAGCAGCTTCTTGAGGACGAGTCGCAGTTTTCATTCGCCGGATCGGAAACGGAACCGCGACGAGCCGGTGGGGCGAAGTGACGCGACGTTGGCGGCTTTTATTGGCGTATTGAACCTTGATTTCTGCAGAAAAGAGAGACGCTCATGTGCGGTGCCGACCGAGCTGCTCAAATGAAAGCGAATGAACGGACAACAAACGGACCCACGTGACATGACACATTGACCCGCTACGTCATAGAGAAAAGCTCGCTAGCGGGAGCAGCCGTCATGTTCAGACAGTCGGCCTCCCCAACTTTTCCAGCCACGGATGAGGTCGAGTCGTTTGGGGCGGAAAATGCTTGACCCGAAATTCGTGCCCTGTGTGTGTGTGCGCGCGGTTTCCCGTCACAGATCCGATGTGCTCTTCGGCCCCCCCCACCACCAAGAGTGAATTGGGCATCTCTGGATCGCTAATTCCAGTCAGCGATCGTTCGGAGGAGGCTGAAGGCAGCTGCCGGATCTCGACAAGGTCCTTCCAATTCCAGTGACGCTATCTTGAATTGAAAACGCCTTCAACGCATCCCAAACTAATCGGAGAGCTCTCCAACTCCACTTGGGGGTATCTTCAATCGCAGCACATTTAAATGGGAAAGACGAGAGCGGCAACCATCCATTATTTCAAGAATTGAGCCATCGGCCGAGTACTTTTTTTTTTCAATTTATTGGTGAATCGGATGAGGAAAAAAACAAAACAACTGATTCACTTGCTGGTTTGGTCCGTCAATATATGGATGAAAATGCCGATGGCGACGCCGCCCCCCCGCCAACGTACAGGCAGATGTATGAAAATGGATCGGGTAGCCGCACAGCTCGGTAGAGTTCCGAGCTTTGCCGCAGAGTCGTCATTGAGCGTTTAGCCAACTTCTGCCCGCGGGTTCGTGTTAGCGCGCCAGGCAGCCTCGTCGAATGTCCAGCGGGAAGTAACCGGGCCGTCATCTTCTCTGTCTCCAGGACGCCGTCGCGGCGGTGGATGAAAACGCCGGCCGGCTTGCGCGACGTGGACAGGAAGCGCCTCGGGACGAAGGCCACGCTGCCGCTGGCGCTCCGTGGTTTTTTTAGGTTTTGATTTTTGTGAGCTGGATGAGAAAATCGAAACCTAAAGAAAAAACGGCGCCGCCCGCTTTTGGTGTGACAAGCAAAGCGTCTGCCTCCTGCGTCGGGCCTCACGGCGCCGTGCCCATCATCTCGGGGCGGGCGGGGGGGCTGAAAGTTGGTGCGGCCGGGCCAGCCGCCAGCAAAGCGTTTGCGGCGCGTGATGTGTTTGTCAACTGTCGGCGGGCGGGCGAGGAGGTCTGCGGGTCGGGTCGCTCGCTCTGGTGAGAAAAGTAGCAGACGTGCTCCATGACCTCACTTTCAAAGGCCTCCTGGTCTCCGTGGCGACCGGATGCCTGTGAAAACCCCTTGCGTAGCCTTCCCTGCGCGCGCTCGCGCTCATGAAATGTTCATCTGTTGGTGGAGGGGCGGAGGGGGGGGGGTCCTCCAGCCAGAGCGACCATCTCGTCAAAGCTCGCTTTGGAGTTCTCGCCGTTGACGCCCGAGACGTCGCCAAGGTTCATTTCCACCGGTTGCAATTGTCACGCAGCCTCAAGTGGCGCAGCGTCACCCTTCGCCGCTGCCGCAATTGGGAATGCGGGAAGAAAAGGGGGCAAATCTTGTCACCTCCAACACCAAAACCGCTCAACAAAGTTCCAAAGTCCGCTTTTGCCATCTTTGAAATGTCTCAAGTGTCCTGAAATGTCTTGAATGCGGCATGCTTTCTCAAAGTGCTCCTGAGGTGATGGAATCTTTCTCCTCTTTTCCAAATGCAGTACCTGTACTTTTTTTGGGGGGGGGGGCTTCTTGCACAAAAGTCGCTCTCGCTGTCTTTAGCGCTCAGGCGAAACACCCGAGGCCTCTGCGATATGGCCGCCGTTTTCCCACAAGAGCAAAAAGCGCCTGTGGTGTTTTTGCGCTCCCGATCCATTTGTCAACGAAGCCAAGTGCGCGTGCCTTGACCGTTCTTGCGTCAAGACGAGAGTGTTGGGGACGACGGCGGACTCTGACGCGTGGAAATGGATGTCTTTGCCGTTCTTATGGAAGAAACGTCAGCGCTATTTTGTGTTGTGCTAAATAAAAGGAGTCTTCCTGAGTAAAAGTCATCCCTGGTCCTGATTTTTGGCTTCCAAAACTTGTGTCAGCGCACGGGAGCTTTTCCGACGCGGGGGTCCACTTGGCGGTGAAGATGGACTTTTGCTTTCAGAAGACGACTTTGTCGTCGCTCGCTTTGCGTCCGCGCAGGCGGCAAAACAATTCGGAACCCTGCCCGCCTCCGTTCTAATGACGTCGAAACTCAGCGAAGAAGCACGCTGGCCGTTACGTCAGAGCGAGCTCGGCACGCGACGAGCTTCGCCCTCGTTTGACAGAAGAGTTGAAGCGAAAGCGTTAAGTCGGGGCCTTCACCTGACCCGGCGCCGCCCCCGAACCGCCCCCCACCCCCC